GGCTTACCACCAAGAAGTCGACGAGTTTTGCCAATCCAGTGACCATGAAAGGATAATGGTCATTGCTTTTGAGAAAGAATCAAATAGCCCAGCAGCAATGGTACTTCTCAAGAAGAGGGGCTATGATACAAGGCACCTGCTACCTCTACCTCATCATCCAATTGGTGCTGAGATGAAAAATACCAGCAGAAAATTGTACTGGGAGTTAAATTATTGTATCAGGAGGGCTGACAAACGCTCAATGTGTTTGGGAGATATTTGTATTTCCCATGGGATACAGGAGGTGTACAACAGAGAAAAAGACCATCCTAGAGGGGCTACCATCTTCATCTGGCTGATGGTAGCAGGTGGGTTCAAAAATTCCCCAGCACTGCGCCTGTACTTGGCACATGGATTTGACATTATTGGGATGTATGGAACAGCGGTAATGTCGCTGCGTGATGTCAGAGAGGAAAGTGTTAGCAGGAGCTTAAAACAACTGGTGAACAGATTGGAAAGCACCTTCCTTCTTCCTGCCTTGAAGCAAAACCAGGCACCATCATCTGTTGAAGATTCAAACAGCCAGGAGGGTCCCAGAGCAACAAATGAACCTACCTCACAAGGTTCTGAACAAGTAGTTGATCCTGAAGATGCCAAGATGTTGGAACCAGATTCCCAACATTCCGCTGCTTCTAAAGAAAGTGTTTTTTCCTTGAATCAGGAAAGCCAGGATACAAATGTAAATGAACTGCAAAAATAAATTTTGACATCGTCCACACGAAAGTCTACACTGTTTCTTACAGCTATCATTGAAAAAAAGATACGCCTATTTCAATAAAGGTTGCTTCAGTGAAGAATGATGCATGGTCCATGTTTCATGGCCTGCAGTGCATTATGGGAGCAAGTCCAGTAAATTATACCTGCGACAAGCCTAGAAACCTAGAAAGCAAACGCTACTGACGCTTCAATGCAGAACCTTATGACAATGTACTTCAAAACACTGAATCCTAGACTTTTTAGGACAGTGATTTGAGTTGAGGTTTTGCTCTGTGGTAAAATGCAGATGTTGCAAATTTTCAACGAGTTTGATTGGATCATGCACATGGACATGGGAATTTTGGATGGAGTTGAAAAAAAAATAACTTAAAATTACACGTTTATTTATTTTTGAGGTGATTTTTTTAAAACTGACTCAAAAAAAGAATAGAATTGATTTGCTTTATCGAAATAACCAGCACTCTGGCCCATCCAAAAACCCAGCTTAATCCGGCAGTATAACCCTGTTCAATTGATGTTGTTAAAGGAAGAGGCTTCTAATTTCTTACTGTGAGATTTTAAAAATAAAATTCTTTAGCTCGCTCATGCTTAAGAATTTTTGAAGGCATTTGAGTTGAAAGCTCTCTTGAACACCTTCTCACAAAAGGTCTCCATTATTTCAATGAACATGAACAAGACTGAACTTCCCACTACAAAAGGGTTTACAATAGTGATTTGCAGGCCATGAAACATGGTTCATCGGAGCAACCGTAATTGAAATAAGTGTATATAATTATTAGGTCATGTTAAATTGCCATTTGAGGTACCTATGACCCAGTGTACAATATTACCCTATGAATCTTTATTCTCTTATACTTTCATTTTTCCTTTGATAATAAACAATAGTTAATTTCGAAGTTTTCTGTTTCTTTGATAATAAAATAATAACAATTATTTTGTCTATGACTATATTGTTTAAACATTTGCAGGATGAAGGACCTGCCAGCCAAGCATCCAAACGTCTGCGCGTGGAGCAAGAGTCTGATGAGAGGCCTTTACCAAGAATGCTCTCTGGTATTGTTGGTGGCCGAACGCCTGATCACTTAGAGCAGTACATTTCCCAACCTCGAGTTCAGGTCCTTTGAAGATAATTTCAGATTCCTAGAATCACAATCTGTGATAAAATGCCAAATGGATGTGAATCAGCAAGACATGGCTAATCGCATAGAATCAATGGAACAACATCAATTGAGACAAGGGCAGTACAATTCACTACTTCAAAAGCTGCAAATTGCTAAACAGCTGGAGTATTTGAGCAATGTCAGAGATGAGCATGTGTTAAACACAGCAAAGTGGCTGGTTGACAATGACAAGGTCTCTATGAAAATGGCTGCTCTGAGGGAGGTTATTGCTGTAGGATGGGCAGTTTATCGTTATCCTGTACTAGGCCAGGTAAATTTATGTTGGGCTTCGGCAAAGCTAGTCATACCTGCAGCTGCTGATCTTTTGACGAAAAGATTAAGGCAAATGAATCTCTACCTCAAAATGTCACTGAGGCCCAGAGATCACGATTAGAGGCACCCTGCCTGAGAATGTCCATCGAATTTCCACAAGGGGAACCCGGTGATGGTGATGGATTGAGTGAACTGAGAGTAACCGACCTCCATGGGCTTTTCATGGGGGATGCTGCAGTTCCAAACACAACCGAAACACTGGTTTTTAGGCACATGTATCCCAGTGAGTTTGCAGCATTTGAGGGTAGACCGGCTTCAATTATTGAAAGGAGAAGCAGGCTGATGGGCTTTGACACCCAAGAGGCACCAAGGGACCCTGGCAGAAGAGACTGCGATATCCCCCAACCTTACTGGAGAGAAGGAAGGGAGTTTCTAAAGCAAGAGTTAAATGGCCTGAGAGGAGAGATACCTATCGATCAGGCTAGAATCCTTGGTGACTGTTATGGAGTTGACCTGTATGGACGAATGTTGTTGGACATCCGAGGTGTATATGACGAGTCTGACAGAGTACAAGCTCCAACATTGAGAAGATTAGAAATGGCAGAAAGAGCTATTCGTTCTGGGTACGCATTTCCCACCAATCATTACTTTGTCACTGACAATCTGTGGCAGGCCTTCCAAGATGCAATAAGCCAACACAAGGGTGGCTTTAGCGGGGATGTGGAATTTATTCATCCATGCATATGCAGAAGAGCACGTCACCAGCTTGAGGTTCAAGTCACACGGCAAAGGAGACACAGATATGCAGAGTGAATGCATACTGCGCTTAGAATGGCAGACATGTATGTCTGCTGTTGTTAATTTGTTATACAGCAGAAACATAACATTTGCAGGTGAATAAATTAAAGTTATTCTCCATGACATACCTAATGGAGGAGAGAGTTAACATTGCCTGGAGACCAGGAATTCAAAGGTTTGGCAAAGACACCATAAAGACTGCCTGCAAACCTTGCCAAGGTTTGGCAGATGAATAATATTGCAGCATTGTTGCTAGCAACAATTTGCCTGGAGACCTAGAATGGAAGGTTTGGCAATGTTGGTTTCCCTGCATGTTCAACATTTTTAACTCTGCCAAGATGTACACAGAAGTGCATTTTGCCGGTCCCAAGCCCGGACAAAAGAGGAGGGTAAAATGTGAACATTTGTTGCCAATGATGTATCTTGACACTCTTTCTTAAAATTCAGTGAGGTACATCAGATTGAAGCTGTTGTACTAGCAAGTAAATGAAATTTAATTTTTCATAGGAGGGAACAAAATAGGCAAATGAAGAAAAGAGCAAAAATTCCAAACTTAAGCAACACCACAGAGAGCTTTGCATGTGCAGGTCACATACGTGTACAATTTTCTGTCCTATAAAAACACCTAAGAAATGCAGGAAAAAGTCATAATTTTTAAATCAACCTAAGAAGGTCTTCACCTATGTGCAAGATGAAACCTCAGCTCCAAATCGCCTTTGTAGTAAGTGTTAAAAGGAAATGCTTACTTTGAAACACTCGAAGATATTTCCACCAATGCTGAACTCGCTTGGAGTGGATGCGTACTGTGTAGTATTCAATGTAAGGTTTAGAAAAAATAAAATTGATGATGTCAAAGAATAGTCCTTCTTGCATTAATTTTGTCGAGATGAAAACACATAACTTCCAATCGTCTGGGCCGTGAAATAGCGATACATTCTCTGTTTTAGGGTTCGATGCCACCGCTCTACCACACTGGCTTTGCTATCACCCTCTGTTAAAAAGTGATCCCAACCCTCCTTTTTGAACCAGGCTTGGACAGCCGCGTTGTAAAATTCAGAGCCTCTGTCCGTTTGCACCCTCAAGGGTCGACGTGGGTGAAGTCGTTTTTTGATGCGTTCCAAGGCGCTCACCATCTCTTTGGCCCCTTTGTTCTTGATGGGTTCTGCCCAGGCTGCTTTGCTAAAGACATCGATCACCGTCAACAGATACTTCATACCCTTGTTACATTTGCTCAACTTTTGCATGTCGACCAAATCTAGTTGCCATTGCTCATGTCGCCCATACACCATCGTTTGAAGGGTAGGAAATCGTTTTCGTCTGGGTTTGTGCAGGGTGTAACTGAGCACGGACTGCAGTTCCTTTTCGGCTTGTTTGCGGGATAGACCGTGAGCCTTGGCAAAAGGTTCAACCCCACCCAAAGCCCCCTCAAGAGCGGGATCCTCGTACAATTCTTGAACGTTCATGACGGGAGTATGGTTGAATGGTTCTCTTTTCATTGTCTTTTATACTTTGCAAGGCCTTGAGACCCTGTCGTCGGTAAAAGTTATCTTCTAACCACCAAACAAAGACCACATAGCGTCCCCAATTCCAACCCCCTGTCATGGCTAGAATATACACCATAACTGGGTTGCCTTTTTCAAAGGGAAGGGGTGAATGCGGCAACATCAGGCGTAAGGCTTTGATACAAAACCACTCCACATACAACCACATCGTGATCAAAATGTTGTTTAATGAGAATCGTTGTCTTGTTTTATGCAAAACAATTTACATGTCCATCCACAAAAGTGCAAAAATATTTACATACAACGTTTTAAAAGTGCAAACATTTTTACCGTGACAAAATTAAAAGTGCAAACATTTTTACCATGACAAAATTAAAAGTGCAAAAATTTTTACCATTACAAAATTAAAAGTGCAAACATTTTTACGGTTTCCATCGTAAAGTGCAAAAATTATTACGGTTTCCCTTGTAAAAGTGCAAAAATATTTGCATCAAAGTCACTCAAAACTCTCTTAAAAAATGCCAGTTCCAAATTTCTTAAAAGTCTCGTACGAATAAGGAGCCATGCCGTTCTTTATTCTTTCTGCATTGTTAGCATCGCATTCTTGCAAAAACCTTTTTTCTCTGTATTGTTCTTGCTGGTCTGCCTCTCTTTTAAACTGCTGAATCCAGGGATCCTTTCTGTAACTTCCAAACAGGTGGTCCTTGCCTTTGTATTCTCTTTCTTCTTCTATGAATCTTTTCTTTGCACGTTCAGGCCACCCAAAATCATCATCCTCCTCTGTGACCAGTTTCCTCTTATAAAGAATGGGTGGCTCTGGTTTGTCATCCTCACTTGCTGGTTTCATTTGGTTGCTAAAGTTGTACCTTTTTCTAAAGTACTCTTCCTTCACAGGGGACCGTCTGGTTATGGGTTCTTCCAACAGAGTTTTCCTCTCTGGGGAAAACTCATAGGGCTTGGGACTGTAGTTTGGAGAGGGTCTGTAAAACTCATTTCTCTGGGGAGGACGATATTGTAAATAATTATTATTATTGACTGAGTGACTGGGGGTTGTCCTCTTGTAATTCCTACTTTGTATGCTCCTCATTTGTCGCTGGTAAGTAAGGGGCTCACCAGAAAAAAAGTCATCCATGGTGGGCTGGTGGGCTTGTCTTTTAGGGCTCCAGGGACTCCAGTGGGTAAACTGAAAGTAGCCGCACCTCTGCTCCTTGTTTTTTCTGCCACAGCAAAGATACACTTTGTGATAATTCTTTTCGCTCTTGCTCAGCTTCATGTTAGGCACCAGGTTACACTCGCACCTCAAGCTGGCGTCTTGGAACAGGGGAAGCAGCTTCTTATTGGTGATGTTCTGCAACACATCGAGCACTATCCCATAAGTCTCGCTGGTAAACCAAACACAGCAATTGGGATAGGGACATCGGTAGTACAAAGCACCAAATTCTGCCTCGGGATTCAAACATTTGACGTTTTCACAGGGATGAAATGGACAGGGCAGGATACCCCCATTGATATAATCGGCATTGGCCTTCTCTCTCTCTTCTTGGGTGACTTCAGCCATCAGCTTTTGGATGGGATCTGCCTGGGTCACAGGGGGTGGCGAATAAGGTTCCAATGGAGAACTGGGTGGTGGTGGTGGAACAGGGTGACCATAGTGTTTTTCCAACCACTCCTGGGTCACAGGCATGTCAACTTTCAACGGTTGCTTTTTGTAAAAATCCATCAGCTGTTTAAAACGAGCTTCCTTCTCCGCCTCATCGTTTAAAGACTCCTCAAGCACTTCGATGCTTTCCATGGACTGTAAAAATGTCTGACCCGTACTCTTTCCATCGTCAGGTAAACCAAAAATGTCGTTCATGGCTTTGGACAACTCCATGGATTCTGGTATGGTCACCGTCACAGTTTCTTCTTCATTGGACTTGACTTTTTTTTTGGCTCTTTTGGTTTTTGGGACTTGGTCCTCTTCTTGTCTTTGTCACTGTTCATGGTTGGTCTGGTTGAATATCTTGCTGGCTGGCTGGCTAGCTGAGAGAATGATTAAGCCGACTCTCTCTTCTCTTTTACGCCCCTCTAAGGACCGCCTCCTGTCCATCATGTTTCATCCTGATGGTGAAATACTGATGGTGCAATACTCACATTGTTGACATTCTTCGACCAAATAAGGTCACAACCATGATGCAATCCTTGTTTCCTCCTGATGGTTCAATCTACTGACTATATAAGGAATGCTTTCATTTTCATTGTCAGTCACATTTCAGAGAGGTTAAGAAGCAGCAGTAGTCAAGAGCGGAGACCAGGTGAGAATGACGCTTACTGTTGATGACGTTGGGGCCCTCCTATTTTCCTACGACATCGGTTTTCAAGACAAGACCCATTTTTTTAGAGAAATTGGGATGTGCGATGTCCGTGGGGAGAACCACGCCCTTTTTTCTTATAATCTGCCCGTCCCCCTCACCTTGACCAAAGTAGACCACGCCTTGATGCAGCAAAAGACCAAAAACCGTCATGGCTTGCGTTATGAAATCAACCACGCCGAGCTACGTCCCTTTGAACAGTTAAAAGCAGACCTGACGGAATGGTTGCAAGGCGTCTTGACCACAGACAAACCCGCAGTGGGTGTGTGCGACGACGGTCCACTCAAGACCTTGCTCAAGTCCCTGGATGTTCCTTATGTGGACTTTGAAATAGAACCCAAGGATCAAAACATCGGTACCATGGGCGTTTTTCCCTCGGGTCAAGAGTGGCCTCTCTGTCGAGAACACTATTATGGGAACGATGACGTGGGGTTTGTCGATTGCGCAAGAGTAAAGGCGTGTCAGATGGCGTGGCGGGTTCGTAAACAAATCTGCTACCAACCCTCGTTGGAACGAGTGAACCGACAACGCGTTATCTGGCAAACGCGATGCGACCGATTGATGGACATGTTATTATGTAACCATTGCATCGACGAAAAGGACCAGGCCTACGAGAAGGGAGAGGGTCTGCAATGGAGCCCCAACTGCGACGGGACCTGCCGACGAGTGGCTTACATTTTAAGGGACCTGACTCACAAAATACACGCTAAACCCGACTATGCGGATGAAAAAGTAGAATGTATGTGGGTCTTTAAAGAGGATGGCCATTAACCCTCTTTGTTGTTTTTTATTACAGACAATGTTGACTATTTTCACCGGAGCGCCTAAAGGAACCAACGCCATCGTGCAACACTTGTGTGCCAAACATAATCACCACTGTGTGGTTAAAATACCACCTTGCTCTAGTTGGACCACCAAAATCGCGCCGCTTCAACGGTCCGAATTGGAGAAAGCCACCCAGGATGTCAATGCGGTCGCTTTACGAAGCTACAAAGTCCTTTCCTCCCCCATCCTTATAAGTCAAGTCAAAGCTCACTGGCATATCGTTTACCAGGCCTCGATAATGCTGGTGCTGGGCTACAGAGATCACATGCTTAAAACAATTAATCCTTCGGTGGTTCGTGGTCTGTGCGATTGGACAGTAGAGCTCGCTAAATTCATGAATAAACCGCTCTATTTTTATGATTTAATGTACGAGGAATGGTTATGGTGGAGTCCCCTCGATCGAGAATTTTTACAAGTAGAAGGCATGCGCGAATTAAATGTGTCACCCCCCTCTTTACAAAACAACGTGGCCATTGTGGGAACGAGCGAACTTGGAAACTTGTAAAACTTGTTCGAGTCTAAAACATTGTAATTTTTTTGTTTGGACGGATTTCGTTTAAAAAATGACTTTGTAGTACCAGAATTGGGATGGTGTGACAAGTCTGGCAAGCGGATGGGATTTATTCATTATTCACACGATTATGTCTGGTCTAGTCTGACCCAGCAAGAGCGGAGAACCGTGAAGTATTTGCGTGACATGGTGACCGGGTTAACCTTTAAGCCGAGACCCGTGGAGTTTCAAAGGGGACGCATTGGTCTGCAAAAAAAAACGTGACATCTTTTCTTTGTGGGAACAATTCAAGACTCCGACTCAATGCGTAGTCACCTACAAAGAAGGAACTTAAGAAAAGACTTTTTTAACTCAATTAAAAATTCCGTTTGTTAATTTAGAAGAGTATGGTTGTCCGAAATTAGATTATTTGCCAGACACCTATTATCCACTTGTTAATTGCGGCTGTCATTTTAATTTGAGCTTTCACTATAGTATGGCCGAGTGTGATGAATTTATGCGTTGGTTCAATAAAAGCACACAGTAAATGATTTTAAAATTGTTTTATTCACTGTTTTATAGTTCTCCCTTGATCCACAAATACTTGACTTCCTTTGGGTACAGGTACTGAAGGGCTTCTCGTTCTGCCACGTGCGGCCAGCGAGCCGTAACGATCTTCACATGGTCTGCATTTAAGTCACTTTCTTTCCCGATTACTTGTTGTGCGATTTTTTTGGCGTGATACCTGGCTCTCCTCTCTGCATTGAATGTCTCTCTATTTTCGTGTCTCCGTTTTTGGGTCTTTTCGTTTATCTTGGCTCTGTTTTTTTCTCGGTACCTCCGCCAGCTCTCTTGGCGTTTGTCTTTGTTTTCCAGACACCATTTCCTGTTCTGCATGGTCTTCCTCTCTTTATTTTCCGGTTTGGCATACCATTTTCTTTGCCTTTCCTTTCTTTTTTCTTTCTGTTCTTGGCTCAGGTTCTTCCACAATTTACGGCTCGGTACGGGCATGTTGAACTAATGTCGTTGTGCAATAATTTTTTTGGGGGTCACGCGTTTTGACTAGAAATGATGGTGCAATACAAAACTGGTTTTTCCAGATTTGTTTCATTCTGTTGGTGCAATACTTGACCCTACAAAAAAAGCACCGATATGCTCATTTTTATCATTCGAAGCCATGGATCTACAAGTACCTTCCCTTGCCGTTCTTTCCGCTGAAAATGCCACTCTAAACGATCAACTACAATGGCTGTACGATTTTCCCTTTGCTGTCCTCATCAGAAGGCCTATTCTTCAGACCGCGTTAAATGACATCCTCAAGTCGCTGACCCCAAATCAGCTTTTAGAGTACATGGACGACCGCCCCTACAATCCAGCTATGACGGACAGAATTGTAAAAGAGATATTTCGGCGATTTTCTTTGGACACCTTGGAACTAATATCCAGGAGTTTCCATGTAGATCACCCGTTTGCCAAAGCCATGGATTTTGCGATACATAAGGAACGAATGTCAGGTATGATAACTGTACTCAACCGATGGAGTATTCGTTTGTTCCCCCCCTCCTCCCTTGTTCTAAGTGGGTGATTCGTTTGGATTGTAAACAATGTGACATTAGTATTGAGTACAGACTATTCAGCACCTCGTAAATACCTGGGCTGTTATTGGTGCGACGGCTATTTAACCGTAGGATGTAAAATGCTGTTTAAACCATTACATGAAGGAAGTATAATCCTGGACCATTACTGGGACTAAGACTTGAATTTTTTTTTTCCAGGTACAATCGCTTTACTCAATACCTGGGTTATTCATACTTTTCCTCCTGTTTATCCCGTGCGAATGCTTCATTTAAGATGTAGACGATGTAACATTACCATTACGCACAGACTATCCAGTCTGCGTGAATATGGAACCTGTTTTTAGTGCAACCGCTAAGTTTCCTTTTTTAATTTTTTCAGGCTCACTTGACATTTGCGTTCAATACCGCTTTCATAAACGATTCATTGCTCCTTACCCCTGGTACAAGATTAAAAACAGCATTGACACTATTCGCTTAGGCTGTTGTATCTGTTACGCACATGTGCGATCTATGGGATGCGAAATGTTAATAAACTTGGGTCTGGAACTTTAATTTTGCAGTACCCATGAAAGTCTTTGTGAAAAGAAAGGAGCTTGTTCAACCCAGAAGACCAGACCTGTTTGTGTTTTACGCTCCTCACATTACTTTTATTACGGACTCTTTTGTAGATACCTTTCATATCATTGAATGTTTTATTGGAGAAAAGGAAAACAGAAGGGCGTACACTTATTTTTAATTTTTGCAGACTCCCACCTTGTTTTAGCTCACAATATAATCGATTATAGCTGCAGTGATGGCACATTATGGTTAAAATGTCAAGACTGTCAAATCCACGTGAGACCCGTTAAATTTGTCTGTCAACTCTGTGGGGGATGTGACATTTATTGCTTTGAAGACTTTGTCGATTTTGTATTAGAGGATTAAAAAATTACTGTTTTCTTTTTTCTAGACACCTACCATATTGTTACTTTTTATTTTATTCTTGTCCGATCAAAGGAAAAATAGCTTTTGTCAATCCACGCAACTGGTGTATATTTTATTAAGAGACCGTTTTTTTCTTTTAGAATCCATTCACGTGTTAACGCATTACTCTGTATTTAGAAGTTGGCCGTGTGATGACGATTTTCCCTCCTATAAAGGAAAACTTTCTATTGTAATACCTGGCAACTGGTGTATACCTCTCAAGGGTGTCAATCTTGCTTACTCTATCGAAAAAACCATGTATGGATTACACGGCTGGACGATTAATGATTATCCCTAATTTTTTTTCTTTTAGCAACACATTATGTGTTAAGCCATTACTTCATCTTTCGAAATTGGCCGCGGGAAAGAACATTTAGCCTTTTGTTACCGAATAGTCATCTTGTTCACATAAGAAACCCTGTATTACTTTTCTCGTAGGCATGCTTGAAGACATAAATGAATGGACGGTTTTGAAAAGTACTCCTCTGGAACCGGAAAAATTAGTTCGGTTTAGGAGATTTACTTCACCTGTCTCGTTAGAAGAAGAATTTATAGTTTTTTACTTTTACAAGAATGGTGGGCTGGGAAAGGTCGTTATTGTATATCTGTAATTTTCAGGGCCGAGTCTTAAGACTTTAAAATATTTTTGTTTTGTAGTAATCCTTGGCGAGTATTAAAAAGTACCCCTTTCAATCCCGAAACACGTGTTTGCTTCCAAAAATGTAGATATCAAAATGTACGTTTTTTATGTTTCACATGGTACCATGATCAGACGGCTTCTTTTGTCTAGGCAATGAGGGGGATTGGTGGTGCTCGATTCCATGGACAGTCACAGGTCAAAGTCACTATTCAAGTTGGCCATGACGAAGACATTTAGTTAATTTCGGTTCCAAATGGTACAAACACTGGACATACAACCCTTATTACCTTTTTCATCTTTATTAAATTTTTTTCCATAACAGACATTTTATTCCTTGCCGTAAACGTTCATGGGAGCCACACCTATCGACCTTCGCTTGTAAAGTTATGCTGGTGCAAATATGGAAGTAAAGAACAGAGAATGTATAATGTTTCCCTAAAACCTTATTTACAACGCCGTGCACAAATAGCTGATGAAGTGCGACAGTCAAATTATTCACGATTTTTCGGCTTGCCATGATTGTTTTTCAGATTTCCTGTTCAATCAATGTAAACACACCAATCATCGGTTGCTAGGCGAAACCAGCTGGCCATTGATCAAATTGCAATTTGCTTTGCAGAATTCTGAACGACAACTGGTTGGATGAATTCATGATTTTTGTGACCAATTGATTTTTTTTCAGAATTAGTCTTGGGCATAACGCTTCACGAATGCCACGATCATTTACCCTCCCTTGTTAAACTCTGTTAGTTTTCCAGTTGTCATCGAACGGGTTGGAGAAACCACAACCCCAGACCTTATCTGAAACGAATCGTTGAACTTCGTGACCTATTTTTAGAACGTTTTCTTTTTAGCAGTGAGATTCAGCATTAGGATACACATGTGTCACGTATACTGTCCTTCTCTGGTAAAATTGTGTTGGTGTTCTACCGGAAATGGATGGAGCAAATGGTCCACCAAACGTGAATTTATTCAATGTTGTCACGCACTAGGAAGGCATCCCATTCTTGTTAATTTTTTAAGGCCTGTACGATAAATGAATATTTGAAAGGGCGTGACGTCAATAGGAGGTCACACACGTCCCGATTGTAAAGTTAGGTATGACGTCAGAATAAAATTGGTTGAAACGTGACTTTTCGTGTGTCTTACATGACGGGGGAATGTT